GTTTTTTCTTCTAATATGATTTTAAGGTTGTTTTTGGGTGTTTCTAGGTAACTAAGGTGGTTTGGAGTACTAGTTGGATTATTTTCTTCTTGATTGGTATAATTCCTCCTTTAAGGTTACTTAATGATCGTTCTACTTTTGATGGTCCTTTAGGTATGTGAACCACCCACCGTTCTAGAGGATTTCATCAAAAATTTAATGGTGGTGGTGACAAAAATGGATGACATCAACGAAAAAGATCGAGCCTCCAAAGTTTTGACTAGATGTCTTCCTCTTCCAAATGATGATTTCGGCCATGATTTAGGATTTCGGAGATATTGATTGACTTATGAGACTAAGAGGAGTCTTTTTGTGATGGCTAGGATATTTGATTTGGCCTTGATTGGCTAATTTTTCCTAGCTTTTCAAAATGGGTCGAAATGGGTCTTTATCAATTAGACCATTTTTCTATGATGTTGGGCCACTACTTCGAGGGATAAATACTAAGAGGAGTCAAAAAATTAAGTCTATATGGTGGCGAGTTAGTGGTATGGTCGAAATTGGAAGACACGGATAGGTCTTCAAATGAGTTGCTCACGATGGTTCAAACTTGGATTTCTCCCTCCTCCGACATCATCTCCTCCTCTAACCAGTGGGGATGGGCGGATCTAGTGGTGGTGGCAATTGGAGTCAAGATCGACCGGAAGGTGGTCGGTTTAGAGAAGGAAAGTTCGACTGGGTAAATGGATTTAGTCTTTGGGTAAGGGCATGTTTGGTTATCTTTTTTTTTTTTTTTTTTTTTTTTAGTGTTTTTTCGTTGTAGGTTTTGTTGTGATGGTTTTTAAGGTTTTTAGGTAAATGAGAGTGGTCGTATGCATGGGGGATGTTGTGGTGGTTGGTTAAGTGGAAGGATGAGGTTGATGGTAGTTTTAATGAAGCAAAATGACTTGGATAAAGAAGAAATATGGTGTTTTATGAGTTTTGATGGTGCGAGTAGGGGTGTTCACTATTCGGTGAAAACCAAATAACCGAATCGAATCGCATCGAATATCAATTTCGGTAAGTTTTTTTAAAAAAATAAAAAAAAATCGAACCGAAATATAGTCGGTTTTCGGTGTGGTTTTTTTAAAACAAATTTGATTAAAATCGAATAATCAAAATTATTAATTTTTTTAAAAAATTCTCAATGAACGACGTCGTTCATTTCGAGTCCTCACACCCTCACACAAACCTAAGTCGATTGGAGTTAAATCAATTAGCTCATAACCAATTCTTGTTGCATTGATTACATGAGCCAACCGGTCCAACGCCAAATGACCATAACCAATTCTTGTTTATAATTGCCCAAAGAGGTACATAATTTCTTTCTTGATTCAATTTATAGTTTAAAAGAAAATATGTGAGATAGTGTTTTTTTCTATGTGAAAGAAAACTAGTTAATTTATGGACCCCGATAATAATCAGTATGTCTCTTTTTAGTAAACACATATAATTTAAAATTGTGCTAAAGAAAGTTGAGTGTTTAAAGTTTTAATATTCTTCATTGTTCAAAAACAACATTGCCATTTAATTAGCAAAGGTTAGCTTATGGTTGTAGTGTTTAACAAGTTACCCAAAATTATTAGTTCTAATCACGTCAAGTTAATTAAAAATGTCTTTCATAATGACAAATAAGTCAGTTATATTTGAGTTTCAAAGCATGCTCTGTTTCTTTTTAGAATGAATTGTTAAAATATCTTAATTGTAACACATATTTAACGGTATTATCTATTAATACCGATAGACAATAAAATATATTATATATTATTAGGCTTTATATGGTAATGATGACATCTCGTATTATATATATATATATATATATATATATCAATTGATATTATATTAGTAATGGCTATTGAGGAGTAGTAATGTAATAGTAAATAGACAGAGTTCAATGAGATTGAAAAAACCTATACATATAGGAACATAGCCTAAAATCGCAATGCAAATACTAAATTTATTTTTTCGAAAGTGCATGATCCTTTCAAAAATCAAAAGTATAGATAATTACGAGTTGAAAACCGAATTACCGAATAAAAAAACTAATATATTTTAAAACCGAACCAAAAAACCTAATAATAATTTGGTTTGGTTTCGGTTATTTTTTTAGATAATTTGGTTAATCGAAAACCGATCAAAAAAGTTCGAAACCGAATTGAATTACCGAACGAACACCCCTAGGTGGGAGAGCTTGTAAATCAATTAGAAAGTGGAGAACAAGGTGTTGAAAAATTTGGAGGAGATGGAGGCTCTCTTTTGTGTGGAGAAAAAGTTAGTTTTTATAGGTAAGAATTAAGTTTTTCGGGCAAAAAATCTATTTTGGTCTCTAATTCTTCCTAATTGCATAATTTGAGTTATTTGAACTTTAATGGCATCCCAAATTATGATTAGTTAGGGCCTTTCTTAATTAATTTCTTAAATTATACTCCTTTTTTCTTAATTTAAGGATTTGACATTTTTTTATTTTTTTATATTATTTTTCTTTTGACTCTTGTTCTTGAACTTTCTTTGCTTCATCTTTTTTCTTTTAATTTGATTAAGCTAATTCGGATCATTTATTTAAATTGATTTCTTTTCTCTCTTTTTTGGCTTAGTTTTTTTTTGTATTATTTTATTTATTTATTTACGATAAAAATAAGAATAAAAGATAATAGTGGGGGGAGAAATTAGGTATTAACACAACACAATAAATCCTAGTCGAATAAATCAAGCAATAACACAATCATTCATCATCAAGTGAATCCATACTCTTAGCAATAAATACATCCATAAGCTCAATATCAATCATATCCATAGACACCCAACTCGAAACCATCTAAAAGTGATCAACACAATTAAAACATCATCAATTAAATACATGCCCAAATTTACAATCATCAATTTTATACATACCCATCATCATCGTAACATACAATAATCGATGTAATACATACCCATCGTCATCATAATATAAAATCATCAACTAATAACTAACCCAAGCCCTAGAATCACTAAGACTTACCACTTACCAATTTGATGCAAGAACACAACAATATACACATTTAATCAACCATTAAACACATGCCACATCATTTTAATGACCAATCATTCATCAATTTCATAACTCAAATATCAATTGAATACAAATCATTCAATTGCACACATTGAAACCATAGGTTTCAAATGAAAACATACCATCCAAATCATCAAATCAACGCATACAAATGTTAAGTCTTATGATAAGTTGAAGTTGTACTTACCTTAAGGTTTGATTGAAGTAGAAATAACTTTAAAAGCCCTTAAACCCGCACCTATCTTCCTTGTTCCTCCTTTCAACCAAAACATCCTAATCTTCCCTCTCGGTCAAGTCTCTTCCCTCTCGGTCAAGTCTCTTCCTCTTGGCAATTCTCTCTTCCTCTCGGCAATTTTCCTATCTATCGACCAGTCTTCCTTCCCTTGAGAAATTCAGTTTCTCTCTTGGTGTTTCTAACTGTCTCTTAAGTGTTTAAAGCTTCTAAATTGAATGACGAACAACAAATGAAAACCCCTAAAATTTGCTCTTTTTTATTTCCCTCTTGACTGATGTTTTAGGAGGCAAAACACTTAGTGGGTCACGTGTCCTATAGTAGATGTTTTACACTTAAACATTTTTAATTTAGGTAAAACACCTAATTAAAAGATTATTTTTTAGATTAATACATATGTAGGATACTAATTAAATTTTAATCATGGCTTAGCACAGGTAGGGGATATTTAATTAAGTTATATAAGTAAGTCCTCAATCTTTTAATTATCATATTCCAATCCTCTAGTAACATATATACACAACATTTAACAAAATAAAATTACAAACAAAACACTTATCAATATAAACACAAGTATAACAATCACATATTTAGCAAAATAGCAAAATATATACACATAATAATGCATAAGAAATAAATTTAGGAATTACAGTTTCAGTGGTTTTCTTGATATTAGAGATGGACAAGGCAAGCAGCAGAGAACATAAAGCCTCTGAATTCATTCTTGGTTTGTGGATCACAATCCAGAGTACCTCTAGGTAAATGCGTCAAAATGCATCACCAGTTCTTGCCTTCCATTTTTTAAGATAGACGCTATTTTCCGCAGGTCATTCCCTGGTTTGAGTTTCGGTAACCATAGAGAAGGGCTTTTTTGGCACATCGCACTTAAGTGACACCAACAAACCAAACTCTTAAGTAAATCATGATTGCATTTCTATTGTCAGAAAAAGTGTGTAGAAATCTTTTTGACAAATGAAACAGTTTACAAATGAGAATGAATGAGAGGTGACAAGACAACGTCCGATCAAAACAAGAACCGAAGAAACAATAAAAGAAAACAAATAAAAAATACAGCGTATTGATGTTAATACCATTACTACAGTGTTCGCAACAGTAGCTTCTCAGTCCCATTTCTGGGTTGACCAAAATCAAAAAGTTCCATCAATCACTTAGGTTTATCTCCGAAATTGCTAGCTCAGGCCTAGACCATTTAATCAATCAATTGTTAATTGCTGATATTGGAGGCTATCCAGCCAATCGTTAATTGACGAAGATTGTGGGGCTGGCTTATAGATACTGAAATCCAGAAGCACTATCTGCACTTTTTTAACAGCACACGGAGAGTTGAAATTTTTTATACTACTTAATAAGGCCGGAAACAGGAAACGAGCATCTGGTGCACCACAACCATGGGACATTCAAAATCATTTTGGCCAAAGCAGTCATAGGAAGCATTAAAAAGAGTGAAGACTGAAGAGCGGGATCATTTCAAACAATATAATCATTAACCATGGTTTGCCAACATGATATTGACAAATTATCAACTGCAAAACAATTTCCTTTTGATCTGTATACATGTACAAATAATCTGTATTGCTATCTAATAGCAAACAAATGTGACAATACTAATTATAAGTACGTAATGTAATGCTACAATATTAGCTTAGAACATAGAAAGAATTGAGAATTAGTAGCCGATTAAGCTCCAAACTTGGGTACTTTAGCAGTAGAGATTTGGGCAAGAAAATGCTCTGCTACAATCCTACGCTGAATCTTTCCTGTGGCCGTTTTGGGGAGTGAATCGGTGATGAATACCTTCTTGGGAACCTTGAAGGTTGCAAGATTTTTCTTGCTGAAGCTAAGCACCTCAGTTTCATCAACGTTCAATCCTTCCCTTGGAATTATGGCACAATTTATCTGCAAATGAAGAGAAGAAAACATTATGTTGAGGCACGAACTAGCATCACAAACACACAAGATGTGTTCCACTGCAATGGGTTTGAATGGTTCTTACCTCTTCACCATATTTATCATCTGGAACTCCAAAGGCGACCGCCTGAGCAATGTCAGGATGAGACAAAAGCACTGCATCCACTTCAAGTGGCGATATCTTCTCCCCTGAAAATATCAGAACAATCACAATATCAGCAAAATTGATTAATGAACTCCAGCAAATAGTTGGTCAATTATTTTTAAACTTTGACATGTTCCTTCAAATCCACAAAAGTTGACATTTAATGCTTAAGTTTTCGTGCTAAGCTAGCAATCTAATTCTACAACAATAACAATTCAAAGGTCAGTCCATCTAGAATTCGTATCTATTACTATTGGATTACCAACTTTCCATATCAAAAGCAATTTTTGACTAGACATATAATTTGATGAAGAATGCACAATTTGTTATTGGAGAACTACTAATGATGATCAAGAATTAAACAACTTGATCGTGCGTTTATGATAGAAAGTGGGGCCTATCATGCATCTACTACATGCACAAAGACAATACTAACATTTCTCTTGTTCAGAAATTAACTTTTACTACTAATACTGTATAGTAAGTGCCTAATCAAAGAGCAAAACTTAAATGAGCATACCTCCACGGTTGATGAGCTCCTTGATCCGACCCACAAGGTGCAAAAATCCATCCTCATCTAAAAACCCGACATCCCCGGTATGGAACCACCCGAATTGAAAAGCAGCCTTATTGGCCTCAGGATTATTCTTATAACCCTTGGTCACATTAGGGCCTCTAATACACACCTCGCCACTAATCCCAACCGGTTGAACAACCCCCTTCTCATTCAAAATCTCCATTTCTTGCCCAATGGGTCGTCCAACCGACCCGGGTTTATGTGGGCCATCTTCGGGTAACGGGTTAGAAGCCATTAAATGAGCTGCCTCAGTCATTGCATATGCCTCCAATACCGGGGCACCAAACGCCTCCTCTAGCCGGTCCAATATAACCGGCGCCAAAGAAGCGCTACAGCTCCTAATAAACCTCAGCTTGGGATAAGCCGGTTCAGGCTTGCTGACATGGCGGTCAAGTACAATTTGATGGATCGTCGGGACTGCAGTGTACCACGTGGCATTATATGAAACCATGTCTTTCCAAAACGTTGAAGCAGAAAATCTCCCAGCTGCTGGAAGAGCCACGGCGGCCCCAGCCACTAGTGAGCTCAATAACCCGGCTAATAATCCATGCACGTGAAATAACGGCAACACGAGTACAGTCGAGTCAGACTCGGTGAGTTTATAAACAGATTTTATATTCAAAACAGACGAACCCAAATTCAGCTGAGTCAAAGGCACGCCTTTGGGTCGGCTCGTGGTGCCAGAAGTGTGCAAAAACAGTGCCACGTCAGTTGAGGCATTAACGAGTTTGTCAACTGCGTCAGCCTCTGATTCTGACTCGGTTGAGAGAGCTACCCTTTTGGTTTGGTAGTCAAGCGTGGATGTCACTTGAGGGATATTGAGCTTAGAAGCCGCGGCTTGAGCCGATTGGATTGACTCTTGTGGCATGATTAGCAGTTTTGATTCCGAGTCCGAGAGGTAAAACTCGAACTCCTCGGCTGTGTAAGCCTGGTTTAACGGCGCAGCTGTGGCTCGGCATCGAATTACAGCCAAAAACATGATGACAAACTGCATAAAGAAAATAATAAATAAATAATTAATAAATGCGTTTTCAGTTTTCTACAGTTGTTCCCTTCTTTTTTTTCGAGAACCAAAAAGAAGCGATAAAAAAAAATCAAAACGTAGTCGGCAATACCTCGATGGTGTTAGGGAAGGTGAGAGCGACGACATCACCGGGATTGATTCCGGCGGCGACAAGAAGAGAGGCGGCATGATCGACAATATCGTGCAATTCAGCGTGAGTTAAATCGAGTTTGCCAGAAACTGATAAAGCGCGACGATTTGGGAAATCTTTTGCTGATTTCTTTAACAACCCAGTCAAAGTCAGGGTCTCCATTTCTTTACTTTTCTCTATTAGAAGACGTAAATCTTCGTTATATATTGATTCGCTTTTTTGTTCTCCGGTTTTGGTTTTGGTGTTTGAAAGAAGTGAAAGAATGTGTAAAGAGTGCGTGCGTCTGTTCAGGAGAGGTGGAAGGATTTTATACATGCGAGTACAAGAAGAGTGGAGGTGGTAACTAGGAAGGTGTGAGCGGGGATGACACGTAGGAAAAGGGCGGTCAGTTTGAGGATGCCTGACTTTCCTTCCCGTTTGTTGTTTGTTTCAATGAATCTACGTTTTGTCCTTTCTGGTACTCGTGGAGGCACCTTTGCCGTTATATTTTACACGCGGTGGGGAGGTTTCATCGGGCCTAGTACATCCAGATACAGTTTTTTTTTTCCTTGTTTAGATGAAAATCAACCACAATATTGGAAGTTGGAACTCTATTCAGTTTACTCATGTATTAATTGCGTTTGTTCCAACTATGTTATCTTCTGAGTTCAAATTTGTGAAGAAAATGATATGTGAAGAAAAAAATAATCTTGATATATGAAAAAAATTCATTTTGAATGCACGGCTTCAAATAGAATGATCTTGAGACATCCTATATTAAAAAACCTTATTGTTAAATCTTAAATACGATAAAGATAAATCAAATATTGTTGTGTACTGCTTATGGTTTGATTTAATTTTTATAATGTATTATCTATCTCAAACAATTAATCCCATGTTTTTAAAATAAAAAAGACTTTATAATGTCGATGAATACACTAAAACAGTATAAATAATACATCTTTAAATTTATGCAGTAGAACAAGTCTAAATCCATAAATAAATTGATTCAAATATATACTTTACAGTTAAATAAATAAATAAAATAATTAAAGTATGGATAGTCTATATGGTCCAAGTTCATTCTTATATATGTCTGGAAGTGGGTTTATGAAACTATGAGTTAACAAACTATTTGATGACATTGTATTACCATGTGCATAGAAAATTTTTTAAAAAGGATATGGTTCATCATTTAAGATTAGCGGAATAAACTAGTAAAATTACTATAAATAATTAAAATTTTATAAATCATCTATTTAGTAAATCACATTTAAAATATAAATTCTTTCACATTTAATCATACATTCATTTTTATGAAATGAAATAATTAATAACACATTCATCATAATATAGTCTGGATAAATTTAATGATGTGTAAACTTTTTATTAATGTGATTCATGAATTTATTTATTAGTATAGAAATTGTAAATAAAATTAGGGGGAAAAGGACGTTTTAGCTAAATTTTGTGACACATGCATGCTTTAATCCTAATTTATAATTAGGTAGTATTGTTCAGTTAATCTATAATTAACTCTATCTTAATTTTAATTAATTTTATCATAAATCAAATTTACATTTATAATTCAGTTAAAAATAAATTATTCAGAGGAGATTCCCGATATTTAATTCTTACGGTTTTACATAAGATTTGTTTGATTTATGATGACCCAATATATATATATATATATAAGCCTTTGGACCAAAAACCGGATTTCAAAAACACGCGCTGTAAGACGTATAGTTCATTGAATTTACTTTTTTCGTCACATGACTAATGACAACACGCTTTTTCCTTTAAAACGACAAAAAAAAAAAAAAAAAAAAAAAAAAAAAGACACTAATGTGATAACATTACCTTATTGAAGCATGCAACCGGAGGTCCAACACGAAAAACAAATTTCACTCTTTCATGCTATTGGCCTTCATTAGGAAACCGTCGGCTGGCTGGTTGTTTTTTTAAACCAGAGTGGTCCGCCGCGTCAAAAGAATGACTATTTGGAAGACAGCAAGGATAGAAAACGGTGCCATTTCCGTTTTCAAAAACTTGTTTATTTCGTTTTTTCATTATTTAGAAAAGAGTAATGTTATTCTTCCATAATTATCTTATAAATTTTATTTACTAAAAACATATAAACTATTCTATAAATATTTTATATATTAAATAAATAAATTTCGTTTATAACTGTTACTAGTTTAATGATTATTTTTTTGATAAATGAGTTTAATAAAATAATTATGTAAAAAATAACATTACTAAACTTTTTAAAAAAGATAAAAGACACAAATATTTAAGACCACTTTTTTAGGTTTTCGGATAAATCATCGCACAAATTTGATCCACTTCTTAAGATCACCAAATCGATAGAATTTTTACGCATCCTTAAAATTGTCTATATTATTTTATAATTGATGCATTATTAATTATTTTATTCTACAATTATAAACGTATTATTATATATGAAAGATTTATATGCTAAATGTATGATTTTAATAAATTTAATTATTTGTAATATTTTTATTGGTTTGGTTCATAATCTTAATTAGGCAGTGGATCTAGTCTATAGTAATTCTTCATGTTTTCTAATATCTCAATAGCCACTTCCTTTCTTGGTATTTATTTATTTGAAATTAAATGTGAAAAAAAGAAAGAAAAACTGAAACTCGCATAAAAAAAAAAGATAATTATTCTCAATATAATTACAACAAATTTCAAGTAATTGTTGATCAAAAAAATGTATGCCACACTTAAAACACTTGCATTTGAGCAGCGTGAGACTAATGTGTTTACTGTTTTGAACACATATGCAAAGGATGTCACAAACAACTTTCAATATATTCACCGCGACTAGTATAGACCTCAGTATTGGTCAAACATTTTGGGGGGACATGGTAAACCTAATTTGAATAGAAACCTGGAAGTAGTTGGTAGCGTAGACTTAGTAGTGAAAAAGTTAGGGGCGGTTCGGAGAACCTCTACTTGCATATAGGAAAACGTAAGCGCTTACGCACCAAAACGAAGAAGCTCAATTGCACGAGGTGATGTATATGACATGGCCCTGGATAGCCTAACTCAAGTTGGCCACTTGTTTAAAAATGCAGTGTTTAGTTTGGACACTACGCGAAACGTAACTTGTTTGTTTTGGAATTGGAAGTAATTAACTGGCGCAGCCTTTCAAAAGTTATACAGTAAGGTCTCCCACCCAAAAAAAAAAAAAAAACGCCACTTCATGTATACCATCTCATGTCACAGTCGTGCGTGCTGGCAGAACATGCCTTACTCAAATTAGTTAGATTTGTTGATGAGAGATTGCAGAATATGGTTAATAATTGGAGCCAATTCATCACAGCTACTTTGTTAATCAGTGAATATTTGGATTTTGCTAACAAATGCAACTGCTAATTATGGTAATGTTAGCATAGATGATCCGTTTCTAATTTTAATAACATCATGGTTAATTCCAATTCTGAGAAGTCATAAGAAAATATTTTTTTTGTTAATATATAGGTTTTTTTTTTAATTGTCTTTTTTATTGGAAGGTTAATCGGGCTTCAACTTACACTACTAATCTGCAAAAAAAAATTTAGACTACGAGCAATAATTTATAGCCACAGACTCTCAAGGTCTGCAAGACTGCACCATGGGCTTAGGCGGGAAAAGTTTTAGATGGGCTTTAATAAATAATACATGTGTGTTGGGTTTTGGCTGAACAAGTACTTTGAAAATGCCGGTTTTTAAAGTTTAAGTTGCAGGCTTAGAGTGATTGTAGGAGTGAGTGTTGCAATATTTCAAAGTATTGTTAGCCTGACAGTACAGTTTTAAAGGGATGACATCCCCGAGGCTCCAAAAATCTAGATCACTACCATAACCCAAATTTTCTCTCCCTATTTTTTTTTTTTTTTTTATCTTTTCTTCTCTTATTTTATTCTTTATCTTTTATTTATTTTATTTTATGTTATTTTTATTTTATTTTTACTATTGTTTGTTTGTTTTTTATTTGTATTTGTATTTGTATTTTATTTTCATTTTAGAATTTACTACAAAAAAAAGACAAAAAGAATAAAAAAATACAAAATACCAAAAATTTAATTGTATTAAGGGCATAATTGAATCAAAACATAACTACAATTAAAGCAATTGAAGCTACAATTGAAGCAATTGGAAATCCAAGGATCGTAATTACAAAGAATAAGGATCCAATAAAAAAAATTAAAAGTACATGAACTATAATAACTTGCCCAAAGGTTACAATTGAGACAAAACTAAACCTACGAGTGACCTAAATTTACATGAGATGCGTACGATAGAACCAATTCAAAACTGGCTTGAATGACTCGTCGTTCAAATGCTCTCAAATCTTGTCATGGCACGACTATCTTGTATCATACCATCATGGCACTTCATCTCCATTAATGGCTAGAGGGACAAAACAAGTCATCCTATAAATCCTCCCCCGCACCAATTTGCACAACAAAAACACCAAAATAGGCAAAACATAAATCACGAGTCTTAAAGCATAATTGTTTTGGTTCTCTATGAATAAAACCAAAATTGACAACAAATTGCAAAGCTTATTTGGTTGTACAATAAGTTTTGGACTTAAGGGAATTGATCCGAGAAGTAGGAGGATGATTTTAGGTATAAATAAGGATAGAATTTAGGGTTTGAGATAGGAATAAAGGAATTGTAGAAAGGGTAGAGAGCATATAAGGTATCGTAGAAAGGGTAGAGGAATTAGAGGAACGATAGAAAGGGTAAAAATTGGGGGAAGAACAAAAAGATTAAGGGACAAGAGAGAAAAGAGAATTGGACAAATCCTAGAGCAACCGAGAGAAAACAATTGTAAGGAGAATTAATATATAAACAAATCACAATAAAGCTTAGAAGTTAAAGGTTCTTACCATCAACTTCGTAGTTCCTAGGCCTCGGAAGAACACTCGTTCCACTAGTTTAAACGAGCAATTGCTATCGTTATCGCATCCTCGACCTAAGCTCCCTCAATCGGATGCTCAAGTAAGATTCTTCCTTTTCTTCATTTGATTTGTAGTTCCAATCACACGGATACGGACTTCAGCAACTCCAAAATGAATGATGACGGTGATTTTCATCACACGAAATCCCCACTTCCTCATAATTTCATTATGTGTTATATTTAATTCCATGAAAGGAAGGAGAAATGA